ATCAGACATTGCATTCCAAACTATCAAATACTGAACCAAGTCACAATTAGGTCTCAAGCCAAGTCAAAACAGATATTGCATTTGAAAATGCCCACCTCACTAATAGTCTAATACCATCATTGTTGGAGCATGAGTGATCTTAAAGAGGTATAGTTGCTAATTCCCCAATCCAACTTTTCATTTAGAACCAAACCTGATAAAAAGATCAAAATAACAAAGATGAGAAGCTCCCAATCCAAATTCATCCATCTTCTCTAATTCCAGACACTGATATTGCAAAATCCAAAGTTATGATGCATAATTTGTAAAACAAATAATAAAAATTAGAATGCCCAAAATAATCACTTTCACTATTTATTTCACCATTGCAAATCAAAATTAAAAACTTAAAGATAAGGTGTAGCTTTCTGCCAAAAAACAAACACCACCAGGAAGAAAAAAGGTTGGCTAATTCCAGATTAATAGTCTTTTTACACTGTAATCTTCAGTAAGTAGAACTCAAAAATCAACATGATAGCTAGGCCTTCTAACTAATCCAAACCAAAAACATGATAAGGAGAAAGGAAGATTTGTACTAAGGTGCTAAAAGAAATATGTTACATAATATCCTTTCGAATCTAATAAACTAAAGAGAGAATGACATGAACGGACACAGACAAGCCCCCCACAGAAAGAGAGAAATTTTTTAGGAGAATTTAGAAATTGCATCAAGATGAGCACACACTTTCTACATTTTTCTGTAGCATTTACAGACATACAGTTTTGAGCTTTCATGACCATAGCAGAATTTTCAAGGAGAGATTTTATCTCATGAAGTCTTTACAGCAAAAAAGTTAGAACATGTTTTTCTAAACTCAGGATGCAAGTTCATATCTTGCCTCTTGAGTAACATGTCAAGGTCTAACACATAAGGTGTCTGTATTTGCACCAGGTCCATGTACCTGGATTTAAAATTGTTAAAATCACAAAATAGTTTCAGCATTCTACAAATTCAATGATAAAATACAATGCAATTTCAGTTTAGACTGCATGTTTGTCTCTCTAATAGATTAGCCGTTTCATGATATATAATACTATAATTTTTTTATCATCCAATGGCATATCACATGTTCAGACAGAATAGTGCATACCAAAGGAAGAGGAGAAAAACAAAAAGATTGTACTCATCAATTAGCTTCTTCTTCTTATATTCCTTTCCGAGAATTACACCTATCACTAAGTTAAAGGAGATTAGGGAGGAAAGTTCATACCTCCAATTGATAAGAGGCAAAGGTGAAGACTTTTGCATTTGCTTCTTTTGACCAGCTGCTCATTGAACCCCTTAGTCTCTGTGACCTTTTTCACCTACTCTTTCACAATCTGTAGGAATTAAAAACATTAACACCACTGGCCAAATTCAATGCAAATTTTGAAGAAGAGAAAAAATATTTTAGAAAGTATATATCAGCTCCAACAGAAAGGTATAAGGATTTAGAATCTGTTAAACCACATTAGATAACTAACAAGCAAGAAACTATAGCTACTAGCATTTGGACTTTGTCGTACCACACAGGAGATTAATCAGCAAGAAACATTTCAGAGAAATCATATGTCTGAAGAGTACGATGGGGAAGGGGAATTATGTTATCCAACAAATTAGCAATCTCAAAAGAATTACAAAAATGCCAAGATCATAACGAAGAGGAAAATAATTATATAACCAGACTAAATGTCCACTGTGCACTCCTTTTGCATTCCACTCGTTGTCATTACTAGGTCCTCATTGAGTCATTGTCATTACTGCAGAAAACTATAATGAAGAAAAAAACACACACAAAATGGAATATTAGTTTCATCAGCCAAACTATTAATAGGAAGAGTGAACACAAATGCTGGCAAGTATAGAACACAAATGCCTATAGCAATGCAGATAGAAGGACCCTTGAAAACATGCAAGCCACCGCAACAAAATGCCTAATTAATATGCCCTATAAACGGAACCATAGCAGTATATAACACAATGCAGCATTCAAAAAACATACAAAGCACATTAAGGAATTAAAAGCAATCCCAGAGGCTTAGACAACGCAAAAGTTAACTTAATAAAGCCCCAAACCAAATCAAACAAACAATTAGTTCTCAATAATCCACCACCAAGCTCCAAAATACCCAAAAATCTCAAAAAAAGAAAGGAAACCTTTTGATTTTTTGAGTGACCACCTAGTCTCTTTTTCCTTCTCTTCTTTCCTGTGAGCGGCCTTCGCTTCTCTCCACCGGAAAGCCCCCTTCCGTCACTGAACCCTCTCCTCTTTTTTTGCATCATAAGACTATTTTGCTATAATCACCAACATCTAGCCCCTTCCTTCCCTTCCCTTCTTCTTTAGCGGTTTAACCCTCTCTGAGCCCGCCTCTCATTGACCACTAAACTGAACCCACAATCTTCCTCTTCCAATCTTTTCTCCAACTGTGACCCATTGCCCATCCCCGTTGTCTCTTTCCTTTTCTTGTCTCCCCTTCTCACCACCGGACTAGCCTCCCCACTAAAATCTTTCCCCGTCGGACTCCCATTGATGACTGGGATAATCAGGGTAGAGAAATACAAGGGAAATCAAATAAACAAGAGAATGATCTCCGATATATTATTCAAATTGATACCGATTGTAGAGAGAGTTTAGGGGGCAAATAAAATGAAGCTGACAATAAGGAGATAACGAATTTCATAGAGAAGCTGTAAATAAGAAGGAAAAGTTTCCAAGGGCCATCTGCTCTCTAGCCCTCACCCTTACCAAAAAGGGCAACATTAATTAAATAAAACGACGAGAAAAATAACAATACATGAAATATAAAATTAATCCCATACTGTCTTCATAGGAGAAGTCCCTACTAACAAAAGTCATCATTAAATCATAAAAACGTTTTTTATTTATTTATTTTTTTCTTATTCTATTTGAGTTTAATAAAATGTCTAAAATTTTATTTAATTTTAAATTAATTAGTTAATTTTAAAATTATGATATGTTCTATCTTGTTAAAAAAAAAAAAACAAAAAAAACAAAAAACCTCTATCCTGTGCCCTCATGGGCGAGAGATGGCAGACACAGGATCTGAAATCTGAAAGGCGACGGTGTGCACCGGGTGAGTTCTGGCCACCTATGATTTTATAAAAGTTACTAATTTAATTGTAATTTTATTAATTTATTTTTTAAAATTAATAATTTTAATATTTTAAAATATTTATTTATAAATTAATTTTAATTTATTAAATAATAAATTATTAATTATTTTTAATAATTAAATTAAATTAAATTAAAAGATTTTTAATTTTAATGACTAAGTGGATAGCCTAGCGAGAGTTCCTGCGTTAAAAAGATAAAAATCTATTTTGAGCCACTCTCCTTACTAAATTTAAAGATTTTAGCTTTTATACATTTTTAATCATTCACCTTATTAGATTTATAAATTTTAACCTCTCACTTATTAAAATCAAAGAAAAAAACCCTCTTATACTAACTATTAACTTTGTTAACTAAAAATAGATTTTTGTTAACTAATAGTTAGTTAACAAAATTAATTAAATATTATAAAATTAGTTCTGTTAATTCTGTTAATCGAAATAAAGTTTTTATCAATTAACAGTCAATTAACAGTTAGCTAAGAGAATTAACAGTCAACTAATAGAGTTAACAGTTAGTTAATAGAATTAATAAAATGTTATAAAATAAAGACTATTTTTTTCAATTTTAATAGGTAAGGGGTTAAAAGTGTTATTGTATAAAATAAAAAGCTAAAATTTATGAATCTAGTAAGATAAGGGTTAAAAATATTATAGCATAGAGTGAGTGGTTAAAACTGATAAAATGAGTGGTTAAAAGTAAGTTTTTACTGATCTCTGTAATTGCTAGTTAAATACCAATTATATCCTTCAAAAACCATGCTCAGGGATTTAAAAGCAAAACAAAGTAAAGTTGTTGCAACTTGTAAGAAGTCCAAAAAAAATTGCTGAAAATGACAAAAATGTCATCCTCTCACAAAGCCCGTCACTGTAGCAAATCGGAGCTGTTCTTCCATTTACTTATTTAGAAAATAACAATAATAACAGCCTGCCTTTTACTTCTTTAGAAAATAACAATGATATCAGCCTCTCACAAAGGCCCTGGTACTGTAGCAATTGTGAGAGGGGAACTCTTTCTCCTATGGGCTGTTTAGTTGTCTGCTTCCAAGCTGAAATTGTTGTTGGCTTAATCAATGATATGTAAATTTTTTTGGGAAGTGAATATTGAAGAGAAATTAAAAACAGTAATAAAAAAAAATACTGAATTATATTCAGATTTTCATTTTTATTCTATACAATAACATATGTATATATAATATTTACATGATATGTTTCCGCGCCTAGAATTATGCAGAAGATTGTTATGTTGACCATTGCTCAATTTCTGCATTATGACCATTGAGGAATTATGACAGATAATTCCCTTCCTCTTTCGCTGCTATTTCCTTGTTCAATTCAGATCTTGATTGCTCATATTTGTTGTCATTTGTTTCCTTATTTGACTCTTGCTTCTTCATAAATATAAGTAATTGCAAATTGAATCCAAACTCCTCGATTTTGAAGTTGTGATGTGTCATATCCTTATATTTTTTATAGTGTTTAAAAAAAATTATAAATTGAGGTATTCACTAAAAAAAAATTTAATATGTGTTTTTAAAATATAGATTAAGAGTATTTTTTTACATTAAATATATATA